CGCAGCCCCAGCACCCCGAAACCCGCCCCTCTTGCCGTGAGCAGGACGCCCACCCACTCCGCAGGCAGCCGAACGCTCTCCCTCGCGCCGTGCCCGGCTGCCGCTCTCTTCCGACTGCACCAGCCTTCGCCTGCGCCTCCCGACCAGCCGTACCTTTGCTCAGTCAGTATCTCCAGGACGTTCTCGGCCAGCCAGATGTTCTTCGCCGTCACATCCCCACCTGAAAGCGGAAGAGCAACAGGGAAAAGCCAGTCAGACGGACGGGTGCGGCTCTGCCGCCAGGCTCAACTGAACCACCGACCGCTTCGACCCCTGCGTCCCCAGCAAGGCAAAGCTAACGAAGACGGTCGCTCGCTGTCAGGCTCCCCCGTGGTCCCGCTCTGCCTGCTGCACGTGCTTGGCTGTTCCTAGGTACAGCACATTTCTAGGTACAAGTGCCTTTCTGCTAGGGGATCAGGGAGGTCTTTGCTGCAACAGCATTCTTGCAAAAAAACTGTGATTGTACAGAGTCAGTAATTATCCTTCTGGAAAGCAAAGAAGCCAGAAAGCGATGAGATTCAGTAGCTGGAAAAGAGAAAACATTTGCAGCTGCTGAGCCCACAGAGGAGAAACAGCATCTGCAAAGAATGCCCAAACTCTGAAATAAAGACCAGGTGTCAAAGTTGCGTCTCACGCCCTCAGCATGGGCTGCCGGCACGGAGCCGGAGCCTTTGGCTGACGTCGCTGGGAGCAGAGCGGGACTCCTGCTCGCAGGGGCACAGAAAACGCCTAAAGCAGGCAAGCCAAAACAATGGGATCATAACAATTAAGGCATCGTAAAAGTGGCGAGAAGTGAGACAGCGGCGTCCTTCCAGAACAGAAGGGGCCCTGGACGGGGAGGTGCAACCGAGGGGAAACAGGGGATGCCTTCACCAGTGTTTTTTAAAATGTTCTGTGTTTACACTGTGACAACAGGGCCAAGGCAGCTTGGCTCGTGCTCAGGACTCCGTCCCCTCCCTCCTCATTCTTCCTCCCCTGAAGAGCAGACACGGCAATTTCCAAACCAGGCTGCCCAGCCCCGTGTCACAGGCACAGACAATAAAAACACAGTGTCAGGTTTTACGGTGGGACATTAATTCCTCCTCCGTGGACGTCAGCAGCCGGCACCAGCGCCGAGCAGAGAACACGGAAGAGGCACCGTTCCTGTGGAGCCGGAAAGGCGTGTGTGCGCGGCGGTGGGGTGCTCACACCAAGGGCTGGGGGAACACACTACAGGCTACCGCTGGGCCAGCTCCCCGGAGGAGCTACCGCCTTCACGTGGGGTGAAGCAGCCTCCGCTGTCTCTCATGAATCACCTCTGCCATCCCAGAGGTCAGAGCAGGGATGAGGGATGATCCTGGTGCTCTTGCGCAAAGCTACGAGGTGAAAGCTGGCAGCAACAGGAACCAATACGCTTCCTGGCTGTTCCAGCGTTTGCCAGAAGCCTCCTGGCTCTCTCTGCGATTCGCCTCTCGTAGAGGCTGTTGGGAGCAACTGACTCCCGAAAGTTTATCCTCTGCTCCATCCTCCCTGGAGAGATTTCCTCACCAGACAGGTTGGGACAGGCTTGGTGCCTGCCAGTGAGCCCTGCTCCTGCCTGGCAGCTGCGTGCAGAGGCACTCGGGAAGTCGGAATGGCACCGGCAGCCCTGGCACGGCACCGGCAGCCCTGGCACGGCACCGGCAGTGCCCAGCCTGCTGGCACGAGCAGGGGCGGGATGCAGGCAGCCATCACCTCGCTCCCATGGCACCACTCACCTGCAATCTGCTTCATGAAGGTCATGCAGACGCCGTCCGCACCGAGCACCCCGCTCTTCACCAGCTCCCGCAGCAACCACACCAGCTGGGCAGAGGGAGAGATCAGGGCAGCTTTCGCCACGGCCTCCCCCCTGACACCGCTCCCGAACCCCGTGGCAGCCTCCGCTGGCGAACGCCGCCACGTTTCCCTTCCAAAAGCGAGTCCTTCACACGGAGCAACGGAGCTCCACCAGTGCCGACTGCTCCCCAAGCCCTCCGCACCGAAACGTCCTCTGCCGGGTTGGTGTGGCAGGAGCCATGCCGGGGAGAAGACCTCCTTTCTCCTCACCTGGGTCCGACAGGTGTCCTGCAGCTTCAAGTATTTTTCCATGAGAATATGGTTGATCTTGTTGAGAACGATGTTCATGCCATCTCGGCTCACCAGTGCCAAGTCCCGGTAGCACTGCAGCAGAGAAGAGCGGGAGACGGTTACAGATGAAGCACCATAACGGAAAATAGACAACGGTTTTATCAAACCCGACCAGATAACAGCAGATAAGCAAATCTCAGAGAAAGATCACCAAGGCAGGCAGACTCCCCATCCCTCTGGGGTGTTATAAATTGACAGCTGGATTCACTGGATTTAGCCCCAGGCACCAGAGGTTTCTTGCTGCAGAATGGACACTGCTGGGTGTCCCTGTGCCCTCATCCCAGCCTGCCCTGCACCCTGCCACGGCTCCGGAGAGACCGACGCTAGAGAGGAAAGACAGAGAACAGTCCTTCAGGAAGGATCCGTTAATGAACAGTCACATGCAGGTCAGCTGAGCCCCCACTGTGCCAGTCTCCCTGGCACCAGTGACAACTGGAACCGCAGCGAAGACGCCTGCAGAACTTGGGGTCGCTGCGATGTGATGGGGGATCGATACCACGGGAGCTCCACGGAGATGCAGGAGCGGAGGCAGATCGTCCCCATGCTCACACCAGACTTCTGAGCTCAGACAGAGCTGAATTTGGAGACTGGCTCAAAACCACGCTACCACGTTGGCAATCCACACACCGGCAGAGTCGATGGGGCTGTGCTGTGGGAAGAGGGAACTACCACGGGGAAAGGAAGGACTCTCTCCACTCCCATCTGCTACCAACAGCCAAATAAAACGCTGGCCGGAGAGCAAAGGTGCTGGCTCTCCCTTCCCCTCTGGTCAGGGCAGCAGGGGGTGGAGGGTGATTAGGAAGTAATTTGCTAAGTGGTTCTGCACAAATGTTAATTTGTGCCAGTAAATGTCATGATATTCCAGAGAGCAGGGGTCTGGTCTCTGCATCCTCCTGTAGAGAGTTAATGAGGCCTCCAAAGACCTCTTTGATTAGACTCCCTGTGCTCAGGCTTTCTCCCTCCCTTTTTCATACTGCACTGCGTTGAAACACGTATGGAAAAAAATCCCAAACGAAAAGCCAGAATCCAAGAGGTGGAGAGTCTTTGGGGCCTTTAATTGCTTTTGAAATGCTAAATGAACACCCACAAAGCAGAGCCAGACTCAAAGCCTCCACACAGACAACGACCCGGCCAGGAATGCACAACTTCTCCCTCGGCTGCATCGGTTTTGAAAAAGAAACGCGTACGTCACAGCGATGGGAGAACGCAGGGGACAAAGCTGGCGCAGGACACGCCGGCCAGGGAGCACGCGGGATGCCAGCTCCCCTGCGGTCTGCCTGGACTCGGATGGAGCTTCTGCTTCGTTTGGAAAATGCTGGTGTCATCAGGTCCCTGCCCTGCCCGGATCCCACCTCCTGTGCTTGATGACAGCATCACGACCACCCATGGTCATCGCCCCTGGCACTTCCCTCAGAGGAGGGAGCATTTCTGCACCCTCAGGAGCAGCCACGAGATGAACGTCTTTCATCTTAGAAGCTTTCCTTGGTGGCCAGTAGCTTCCTCTGTGTTCAGAAAACTCATGCTTTCCTGGGTGAAACAGCCAGGCTTTGGTTTTCTGCCGGATTTGTGCGAGGTGCGGTGTCCACGTCTCCATTTCAGGCCACCGAGAGGCCCTGCGATCCGGCCCCGACGGTGCGGATTAGCTCCCGACCAGCCGGGCTGCTTCTGGCAGCACCCTCAGGAGAAGGGCTGGGACAAACAGCTAGAAGGGACGCTCTGAGGGATTTCATTCTGGCTGAGCACTGAAGTCCCAGCAGGCAGGACACCGTAATCCTCTCACCTAGGGAAGTCCGGCAGCTCTTCACCTTGCTCACCGCACACCTCCTCAAACCCCAGAAGCAAACACTGCAGAAAACCAGAACTCAAACCGCGGCTACGACGTCGCTGATCCTCGGCCCGAAGTACAACCGGCCAGAGGAGAACCAGCCCCATTCCACCAGGGTCACGGGAGTACGGCGCGTCACGACCGGCTGCTTTCACCGGTCACAGCAGACCCCTGCCCGACAGCCTCCGGCACAAGGAGGACAGCAATAATCCAAGGGAAGGTGCCTGGAGCAAATCCTCAGGGCTCCAGCAGCTGGGGGGTGGGGAGAAAACCTGAATTTCTTGATTATTGCCAAGGCTGCAAACAATCCATCGTCTCCTCCCTGCTCGGCGGATTGGAGCCGCCGCTCGCACAGGCCGTTTAATTAACAGGAAGGAACAAATGACAAATGTTCGCTTTAAATGAGGGGAGAAGAAAAAATAAAAACAAACAAAATAGAAAACAGCCATCGAGTGGAGGAGAGAGGCCCCCTCCGGCCCAGCGGCGGGGCAGAAGAGGCACACGGCGGGCAGACGCCGGAGGAGATGTCAGGGAAGCGCTGGGCTCATCTGCGGGGAGGGCTCCGTGCACTCTGATCCCGGAGCAGGGCGTTAATTAAAGTGAGAGGTGCCGGGCGGAGGAGGGAGATCTGACAGATCAGCTGCTGTCATTTTGATATTTGAAGGTGGTCAAGTGTCCCTCCTCGCAGCTGGACGAGCTCAGCACAGCTAATCTCTCCTGGCCGGAGTGCCGAGGCAGCAAAGCGGCAGGAGGGGACCCGCGTGCTGCAGCCCAGTCTCCCCGCAGCGAGGGGAGGGCTGTGCCACCGTTCCTTAAGCGCTCAGCCAGGGCACGGCGCAGCTCAAGCCCTCTCCCAAAAAGGGAGGGAGATGTGTTTTAAACAGCCTCTCCGGGAGGGAGCGGGGGTACCTCCGCCTCCCCTCCGCGCACCAGCAGATGCAGGTGGGGGACAGCCAGGGCACGGTGCGAGACGAGCCGGATCCGCGCGCCGGGGACGGACATCGACCGAAGACACACGAGGTGACCGAGCAGACGGCGTGAGATGCCTCTGCCAGCGTGCTGGGACCGCAGCAACCCCCTGCCTGGCTTTCAGGGCTACAGGCACTAAAATACCCTTGACTGCAAACACGGCCAGCTACAATATCCCCTTTTTTCGGGTCCCAGGAGGGTGGTGAAGCCTCATGGGGCATGCTTGGTTCAGAGCAGCACCACCTCCACACCAACCTCTCCGACACAACACTCCCACGCCGACGTCCGAGGTTGCGACTCTCCACCCGTGACCAGATGTGGGAACGGTCATTGCAGACGACCGGGGCTGGCTGCACCGAGCATCCTGGACCCGTGGGCTTCTCGCTGGAGGACGAACAGAGCTCTGCCCCTCCGTGTGACGACCTCAGAGCTCTGATGAGGCATCTTGCGAGGCTCTTCAAAGTCAGGAAAGCGCTAGCCCCTCTTCACAGGCAGGGAGCAAAGGCAAGGAGTAACTCCCCGCCAAGGCCTGGCAGAAAATCACCGCCTGGCTTCCTGTCCTTGCTGTCTGGACACAGGGCAGGTGGCAGCAACAGATGACATCAGAGCCCCGCAGACTGGCAGATCCAATTACTCCCTAAGAAAAGTAACGTGCTCCCAAGAGCAGATCTGACAAC